ATGACCTGACCGTCGGGAAGCTCGTACGACTTCTCGAGCGAGGACGACGACGCAGCGGTGGCCATCTCCTGCTCGAAGTCGAGCGCGACGTAGCACAGCTTCTCCTTGATGTCGCGCACGATCTCGCGCTCGGCGGTGGTGGTGAACGAGTAGCCGCGCTCGGTGAGGATCTTCATGAGGTAGTCAGTGAGATCGCGACCGGCGAGATCGAGACGCAGGATGGCGTGGGGCAGGGCATAACCCTCGTAGATGGGCACGGTGTGGGTGACACCATCGCCGGAGTCGAGCACGATACCGGTGGTACGGCCCGAGGCGTAGAGCGAGAGCACGGCCTGGATGGCGACGTACATGGCGGGGGTGTTGAAGTCTCGAACATGATCTGGGTCATCTTCTCGCGGTTGGCCTTGGGGTTGAGCGGGGCCTCAGTGAGCAGCACGGGGTGCTCCTCGGGAGCCACGCGGAGCTCGTTGTAGAAGGTGTGGTGCCAGATCTTCTCCATGTCGTCCCAGTTGGTCACGATGCCGTGCTCGATGGGGTACTTGAGCGTGAGGATACCGCGCTTGGACTGGGCCTCGTCACCGACGTACGAGTCCTTCTGGCCCATGCCGACCATGACGCCAGTGTGGCGAGGGCGACCGACGATCGAGGGGAAGACGGCGCGAGGGGCGTCATCACCGGCGAAACCGGCCTTGCACATGCCCGAACCGTTGTCGATGACCAGAGCCTGAACTTCGTCTCCCATTGTTGTTGAGTTGGTGGTGGTAGTGAGGGGGTGGTGGTAGTACAAGTGGTGTGGGTGTAAGCTAGGTACGAAGGAAAAAGACGAGGGCAACCCTCAGCTGGTTTTGTTGGGCCGCCACGGGGAGCAGCCTGTTTTAGGGGGAGCGCAGTAGCGCCAGGGCGCCAGGTGGTCGTTTCTTACTCGCCCAGTCCATGACCACCCAGCTCGCAGTAGCTGGTCGGACGACGCTACTGCGAGATACCGTAATGGAAAAATTACCTTAAATGGGCGACACTTCCTCTTTTGGGCTTGCACGTGAACCGTTGTCCAGGAGCTGACGCGGTGTCTGGCCAATCTCACCCCGAATATTTCAATTTTTCAATTTTTTAATGTTTTTTGGGATTAATTTAGCATTTGATATTGTTTGGCGTCGGGTTGCGCGGTGTCAGGTGGCCTTGAGCTTGTCGGCGAGGGCGCGTACGCTGGTTTCGATGTTGTGGTCGCTCGACTTGAGTTCGCGCACGCGGTCGACCAGGCGGGTGAGCTCGGCGTAGTCGGTCGGTGCGAGGCGCTGTTGGAGACAGGGCTGAATCTCCTGCTCCTCCCGATAACTGCGCTTGGCTGTAACCCACAAATCCGCACCCTCAGCGAAACAGAACAGAACACGCACACGACACACGACACACGACGCACGACAGAGAGAGCGAGCGAGTACCAATGAGTGCGATGAGTGGTTCGATGGTGGGCCCAAAGGATGGTTGAGTGTAGTGTGTCCCCTGAAGCGCCACCAGGCCGGTCTGATGGCGACAACAAGAACATGCAACACGTGAGCTCGCCGCGATCTCACGCGTAGGCCTTTGGAGGCGGTTCCAACAGCACTGGCGTACCATCATCGCTGGATGCTCGGCGCGTGCCGCGTCGACCAATGCTCTGCCTCGCTCCCCACATGCCAGCAGCACTGGAAACAGCACCTGCGAGAATAAAAATATGGTTAATAATTTAAAGAAGTAAAACAGAAAACAAAACAAAACAAAAAACAAAAAATAAAACCATTAAGTCTGCGTTGAAACCGAAGGTGGGTACCCCACCTTCTCTTCGACTACGAGTTGCGCGGAGAGGAGCTCCGCAATGCGGAAGGTGATGGCCTGGGTGATATCGCCCCGCGGGTGGCCCGGCGTGGTTTGCTGCAGGAAGAGCAGACCCAGCGCCCCCTCCATTCCGCCTCCCCCGCCCCCTTCCGCCTCCGTCCCTCCCGTTCGCATTTCGTTTCCGCTTTCGTTCTTTGCCTCTCCGCTTTCGTTCTTTGTCGCGCTTCCGTTCATGCTCGCGTCGTTCTGGTCGTCGTATTGTTGGTCGTATTGCTGATTGTGGGTCGCTGTACCCGGAGGTGCCGTTTCCTTCATCCCCTTCCCTCAAACGAGTGAGAGTAGTCCACGGCGAGGTCAGTCTTTCTATCTCTTCCAAAAGTAATAGGGCCTGTGTGCGGCACGCGTGAGTGTGCTCCAGGACCGCGGCAGGCGCTGGGGCGAGGCCGTAGTTGGTTGCGATTTACTTTCTTTTCGGTCGGAAGAGAATCGAAAATTGGCGAAACACCGGCGGTCGGTTACTGGCCCACCAGATACCGCGCAACCACGAGTGAAGCACCACAACAACAACATTTAAGGCATCCCAAACATATTCACCTTTATATCTGGAGGTGTCCTCTGTTCGGCAGAACAATGGAAATACATAAATAAATAATAAATTATACTACTGAAAAGAGTAGAGATCTCTAGAGGCCGTCCGTGCGCTGGACGTAGTTTGAGGGGAACATGCCGGTACGTCCGTCGGGGTACACACCCACATACCTGGAGCGATAGAAAGAAGAAAGAGGAGGAGGAGGAGATGAGCGACCCACGTTGTCGTGCATGTCGGCAAGAGGGAATGATGCGCACCATTGCTCTACTTCCTCTGTCACCCGCAGCATCTCGCCGACTATGGTGGATCGATACCATACATGAGGGCATCAGCTAGCGAACGAGCAGACACGAACCAACAAGGAAAGCGGTTCGGTGGGTGTACGTACCTCGGATGGTGAGTTCGTCCTCATTCTCGGCTTCGAAGTCGAACAGGACCTGCGCGTTGGAGATGACGCGTTAATCAAACTCGGCTCGCAAGGGCCAGGTGTAGTGACGTCAGCGTACCACGCATTCGAATCCAGGTTCGTCCACGGTGGCGACAGCCGTCGGCGGCGTGGCTTGGGGAGACAGCGAGAGCGTGGCCTGGGGTTGATCCCTCACGATCACCGAGGCTGGGTCCGGTACGGGTATGGGGATCGGCAACGTGCCGAGCGTCGGCCGCTCCAGCGCGCCATTACCACCGCCATCACCGCCACCACCGCCGCTGTTCGCAGTGGTGTCGACATCGTCGTCTTCCATGTCATCGTCCTTGACAATCCTTCGCTGCCCGCCGGTGCGGACCAGCTTCCCGCCGCGCTTGCATTCGCTCCCACGCACACCGGGCGACGAGCCGGGGCTCGGCAGGGCCGACGACGGCTGCTGCTTCTGCTGTTCGAGGAAGGTGAGGAGCGAGGGCGACGAGGTGGACAGCGCCGTGTAGGACGACGAGGGCGAGAGCGGCGGCGATGCGAGGTCGTCGACGCTCGAGCGGAAGTCGGCCAGCGAGCGGCCTGATGGCGGCGCGCCTCTGGCTTGCTGGGGTGTCTTCCCTTTGCTGTCGCTGCTAAAGTCGCTGTCGTCGTTGCTGACGATGGCGCTGAAGCTGTCGCTAGAGGTCGAGGGAGAGGCCGAAGTCGAGGTCGTGGAGAGTGGCCGGACGTAGTTGGAGGGGAAACTGCCCACCCGGCCGTCGATCTCGCCCTTCCACCAGCCCTCTTCCTCGACTAGTTGCATAAATCACATCGCACGACACAAAAGAGAGAAAGAAAAAGAGAAGATGAGTGCGGAGGTAAGAAGAAAAAGCGAAGCCTTGAGCGTACTCTCGAGCACGGTGATGATGTCGCCGGCGTTGATGCTGAGCTCGCCTTCCTCTTCAGCTTCGTATGGGTATAGGACCTGTACGCGAGGGAATCGCTTTTCCGTCGGCTCGTCACGCTCCGCAGTCTTCTCTTTTTCGGCCTCCTCCTTTTTCGCTTCTTCCCTTGTCCGCTTGATGGGCGGCGAGTCTGGAAAGGAGTATCGATCATTTATCAGAACACATTATTGTTGATTATTTTTAATAATTTTTGTTGCCATGGTTGGCTGGCTATCAGAAAGCGTACTCGCTGTGGGGACGACGCCAGAGGTGGTGCTCACGATGACGGTGCCCACACCCTCGGGCTTGAACTTGAAACGCACCGAGTTGCCCGAAGAAGATCTTCACCATCACCACAAGCAACATATGTTGGTTAGAAGTAAGGAAGGTCACCTTCACCAAACGCGGATGAGATAACAGTACCTGTCCCTCCGGAACTTGGATGCGGGCTGCCAGGGCTCCACGGCCAACGGCGCAGGCAAGCTCTGCCCAGTCCTAGCGTCGCGCAAGCCAAACGTTAGTTATAACTAACATTTATAATAAGAAATATATTTAATTTAGTGCGCACCTGTTGCTGAGGATCCAGTTCTGGATGTCCTTCTGGCTGTCGATGTTTTTGATGATCTTCTGGACGGCTCCGAGGGCCTCAGGCTGATGAGTGAAGCTCCCGCCCCACGTCATGCACCCCTCCTGCTCGTTCCACACACACACACACACACAACACATACACGCGCGCTTCAGGTTTTGAACAGGTGAGTACCAAAAGAACGAAGGCGAAGGAGACAAACCTCGAAGATGGACTTCATGGTGACGATGCGACTTTCCTCCATGGCCTCCAGCGCCTGTTGTCATAACCGTGCACACGGTTCCACACGTGAGCAAGAGGAAACCTAAAGAGGATTGCGCGAGGGGGGGGACGCGTGGTGCTCTGTACGTGCAAAATCTTCTTTGTCTCTTGCACATGCTGCTCCTGCGCCGCGTTGAAATCCTCTACCGCTCTGAAGAACGCAGAGTCAGAGTAATAGTTTTCCAGCACACGCCCTGACCCAGGAGAAGTAGAAGGGGAACACCACTTACTTGCCGTAGAGTTTCTCCGACGTCTCACATTCCTTGAGGAGTGTTTGCAGGATAGCGTTCAACTGAGAAAGATGAATTGGGTGTTGCACATCGCTCGATCAGATCAATGTATGAAGTTGGTAATGAGATGACGGTGACGACCGGGTTCGAAGTAATACCTTGACGAGCTTGGTGGTGGCGATCGAGGAGTCATTTTGAGCGCCCTCGTACTGCTGCTTTGCCAACTCGGCCTGAGACAAAACGAAACACAATCGACGGTTGCATGAGTAACCCCGAGAGAGAGGCAAAAAAGAGAGAAGTGGTCACGAAAGTGGTACCTCGCGAGCGACCTTGTAGTACCTGGCCTTGAGCTGGAGACCGAGTGGTCCACGGGCCAGTGAGCAACTGGGGAAAAGTGGAGAACAGAAGCGAACGTACCCGCATGACTTCGGCCAACCCCTTTTCTCGCTCCTTGTTGAGCTTGGTGGCTTCGGCGAAATACTGCGATCACGACGACCATCATCATCAACCGGACGCGGGGAAGGACCCTCTCCCAAACACGCTGCCCGGGAAAGAGAGGCTAATGTACGTTGATTGTCGCCTTTGTTTGCTGCGCGCAGTGGTCCTGCAGCGCGAAGGACGCCTTCCTCCTGCAGATATGAGAGAGAGAGAGAGAGAGGAGACGAGTTAATGCAGAAGCCCATTGCAACACAGCGGGGTCGTATATATGGGTACCAGTGCTCCATGAGCAAAGCGTGCATGTCGGCGTTGATGTGAAGATACTCTGTGGTAGTTACATAGATTGGAGGAGTGAGTCGGTTCAGTAACACACTTCCAGGAAGGAATCAAGGATGAGCCGAGCTGGGAAAGAAGAGTACTTCGAAAGGCCTGCCACGCCGATCCCAGAGTACTAGGGCGGAGTAGACAAGAGCGGTTGTGACCACAAATGCGATGTCAGCGACTACATGACAGTGGAGGCCCACCACCACACAAGCCTCACGTTTCCCAAGTGCGGGCGGATCCGGGTGACGACGTACCCTCCTTCGGTACATTGGGACTGGCGAGCGGAGAGTTTCTTGAAGCCCTTCACGTAGGACAGCTCCAGGTCTATCATTTCCTCGATGAAGGACTGCACCTCGCGATACGTCTTACGGCCTTCCTCCACTCTCTTCTCCGCCAGCTCCAGCCCGCCCTGTTTGAAACGATTAAAGATCAACTAATATTCTATTTTTCTAACAGTTTAAATTATTGAATTTAATTATTTAATTATTTAATTATTTAATTAAATTGCCAATAAATTGCTCTGGCTTTTGATTCGGGGTCTGACCGGGGGGGGGGAGAACGAAGCGAAGAAGGAACGGCGGGTACCCATAGTTCCTGCTCATATGAGAGGCGCGGAGAGGGTCGAGGGGACAAGAGGGCCGACGTGCCCGAACCCGAAGGAACGAAAGATGGTGGGGCCGCGGCCATCCTTACGTCCGTGCGCCGTATTTGTTTTTGTATCCCTTTTGTTTTGCGGTTGCCCCGACCAAGGTAGAATGCAAGCAATGTGGCGAGGCTTGGTGCGGTTTGGCACGTGGGCGATGGTGGCTGTACGTGCCTACACCATCTTCTGTATTGTCTCTGGTCGTCAACACAGATTTGGTCGTTTACTGCTTGTCCTTCCTCCGCTCTTTCTCTTCAGCCTCCCTCGACTTGGCCCGCTCCACCAGGTCACTGCAAGTTTGGCCGCGTACGCGAGTCAGCCCTAGCCAGAGCTTGTTTGCGAGAAAGCGGCTCGGGAAGACGTACACAAGCTGACCCTTCTCTGCGAGAATCTTGAGCATGTTCATGATGAAGGGGATGTAGTTGTGTTTCCTTCTGATGTTCTCCAATCGCCAGTTCTTCCTCTTGTCCTCTTCGAGCTTGATAGCCTCCTGGCAGGTGCTGATTTGGTCATCTGTGGGAGAGAACGGCACCAACGTTTAGCGGGCGGCACTGCAAGTTCAAGCGCATCGCTCACGTACTCAGCAAAGCAAGCTGCTGCCTCAGGTTGTCAGCCTCAGGACCATCCTGCAGGTCCATGAGTCTGGTGTTGACATCGGCCTTCTGATTCTCGAAGTCCTGGACCTGTTCCTTGTACACGGTGACGCGATTCTTGATGATGGCCATTAGGTTGAATCGGATCTCGGACCGAGCGTACCTATTTCGCAACACCGAGAAGAGAACCAACGGTAAGAGACAGCATTACACAGAACAGTGCAAGAGCGGCTCAGCTTATGGTACACTTACTTCTCAATGCGCTTCTGAATCTCAGGGCAAACCTTCTCCAGCCAGTCCTCTTCCGTGCACGGTCCTAAGGAGTTCAACCATTGCAAAACGAGCGTTAGCGAGAGGGCGAGAGGAAAGCGCGACAGAGGACACAGTACCGAGGTTAATGGGACCCTTCTTAAGACCATCCAATTCGTAGAGGCGACCCTTATAGGGAAGGTAGCTGATGAAGTGGTAGACGTCCTCCGACGACTCGTCCTGCTTACCACCAGAGTAGATAAAAGGCTCGGGCCTGGAGAAGCTGTTGTGAACCCTGCGGATGAGGTCGCTGTTGCTGATGGCCAGGCCTCGCATCTGGCGCCCCACAACACGAGCATGGAATGAGCGCCTTCAACATGTGGCAGGGCAAGAGGGTGAGGTGAGGCACCTCGGGAGGGAACTCTTGCGAGAACTCCTTGAACTGGGCAAGCTCTTCACCAAGATCCACCTTGCTGGCGTTGAGGAGAATGGAGAGGATAGCCTGGGTAGCGCAGGCGTTGTTGATCACTTGGTTGGCAAAGAAGACGTCGGTATCGAACGGGCTCTCGGTAGCCCTGTTGTCCGATTCGTCGGCACGCCACTTGAAGAGGAAGATCAAGCCATGCACGGGCCTGCAAGAACAAATGCCGCAAAATGAGCACTACCATTCCATCTGCAGCAAGATTCGCTTGATGATGCGCATAATTTGTGGATACGTACTTGAGGCGCTGCAGATTTTCTTGATCTAAGACGTAGAGTTCCTCCACTTGGCAGTCCTTGACACCAATCTCTTCAATGAGCTCGGTAAACACACCTGTTGCCACGCCATCATTAATTCACTGAGCATCTGCAAATCGCACCCCTCCAAGAGTACCAGGATCAGACTCGATCGTGCACCAGTTGTCCGCCATCTTGTGCTTGAAAAGATGATGCAGAGGGGAATGATGTTGAAAAGAAACCAGCCGAGAAAAGATGAGCCACCTCGGCGTGACGTGGGTTGACAGTACGCGGACTCGATCCCGCGCCATCGCTTCTGTCGCGTACCACTGCTTCAACAAACCCTTCGATTGAGACAGCAAGAAGCACCCCAACACCCAACACAAGTCACGTGGATACGATTGCTGCAGTGTTCACCACTTGTCGGAGAGCTCCAGGAAGAGAGCAGCCAAAAACCTTGGTGTTGTGGCGGTGAGGGAAGATAACGCATCGTGAGCTGATCGCCCGAGTGAGGAAAAAAAGAATGGAGTTGGTACCCACAGAGTACAGAGAGACCGGAGAGGCTTCCTCCTTGTCGGAATGCTTCCGGTAACCTGTGGCGCACGGTAAAGGGTCAATCCTCGTGGGTTGTGATGTGATGATGCAGAGTACGTACATGGCATTGGAGATCACCACAAGCATGGCGCCTGCGGCAAGGCCTTCAATGGCACTGGTCCCGTAGTAGAAGGCGTCGTTCGGTCCCGCATCCTCGGGCTCCTTCATGAACGACCCAATGATTGCGCCGACTCCGGTCATTGCTGGGCCATTGTGGAAGGGAACATGCTTCAGCTCTAACAAACTGCCAACGGTGCACCTTCACGTCACTGGGTTGAGACATACCCACAAGGAAGAGCCACATGCAGCTGATGACCAGCTTGGACATGCCGTTCTCCAACATAATGATAGATGAAGAGAGAGCCTGGAACGATGATCAATCAGTACACATAATGTTCATCAGGCCCGACAATCGCGATTGGACGTACCTCGGGAAGGTTGGCCAGGAAGAAGGCAATCACCAGCGCGTAGCTCACACCATCAGCGGACACAGTGGTAATGCCTTGATATATATCACGCAGCAGGGTGTCAGTGTGGGGTTGATGGTGTGCATTCAATCTGGGAGGTGGTGGTTGAATACCAATAACAAGCGCTTCGGGGATACCGTCAATGAGCATGCCCAGCCAAATGGCCAGTCCGACGCCACTTCCCACAGGCTCCAGCGAATCAGGTGGCGGCCCCGAACTGGCAATGGCAGCGTCCACTTCTGTCATAGACGTGTCAGCAAGCAGAGAAAGGAGAGCAAACAAGTGAAGGCGCGAGCGAGGAAGTCACGATGCACCTCCTTCCTCGACGAGCGGCGCAGCTAGAGTGTCAAAGTCGGCTTTGCTCTCCTCGGTGGCCGGGTTCCAGGTCGTCTGGAGGTGGAGCTCCTTTTCATCGAGCCTCGAAATCTCCTCTTCCAACTGTAGTGGGCAACAAGGCGTCAACAGTGAGCGCGGCATGTGAATGGGGCGGGAATGTGAATGCGTGTACCTCCTGCTCTATCTCGAGCTGATAGGACTCAACCGTCGAGAAGTGGGCGTAGCCGCCATTCTTCCGTCGGAGCTTGTCTAACATAGGGCGGAGGCGCTTCTTCCTCCACTCCAGAAGACGCTTTCTGTTCTTCGACAGCCGGCGCACCCATCCGCCTCGCTCCTCGATCAAGAAGTCAAGCGCCAAGAAGATCATTCCACCTTACACGAAACGATGACTGGGATGAGAACAAGAATGAACTATACAAGAAGAATGGAAGGGGTACCGGCAAGGGCGCAGAAGAGCATGACGAGCATGGGACCGTGACCATACTTGTCAATGTGGAAGAGCACCTCGCCGAAGAGCGAGAGGGTGAGCGCGAACAGCAAGGCGCCACCACCGAATCCCATAGCCACCGCGCGCAACTTGATCGGCATCGTAGGCCAGAACTGGAACATGGCACGGCGTCAGTGATCAAAACGTTTCTCTCCGCCAATAAACGGAAGTGCTTCCGTAGCCGGAACTATAGTTATTAAAATAAAAAAACAAAAACAAAAACAAAACACTGAACTTGAAATGACTAACAAAATAATAATATATAAAAATAATCCTTATCAAGCGAAAATGGGGTATTCGGGGGGCGTAGGTGGGAAGGAGATGTTATTAATCGGAAAAAAGAGATTTGGGAGATTGAAGGGAGACGCACGAGGCCAATGGCGCAGCCCAAGGGGAAGGAGACGGCACTCAAAACGCCCCATCCGAATGCCGCCGCTTGATCCGCCATTGCTGTAAGGTTGTTAGCGTGAGCTGGTTTGCTTTTGGGTTCGTGCGCCAAAACCTCGTCGGCGAGGTTCGAACGCCGATTCCTTCGCGGCCATTGGGCAGACCAGCCGATGGCAACCAACTCCATTGGCGTGTTCCTAGTGCTCTCTTAATGGGGAATCCAATTCGACAAGCGCACCCCTTCCGCCGAACCGTCCCTTGATGTGGGAATGGTAGGACTCAAAACCATGCTGCACAAGAAAATTGCAAGCATGAGGTGCTGGGAGTCCCTCACCTACAACCCTTGCCAATAGCATGTACTTTGTGTTTCTGCTCAAGCAACAGCAGGCCATGGCAGCAATGAGCAACTGGATGAATGAGGTGAAGAGTGGAGGGATGGAGTTTTATCCATGGCATTGGAGATCACCACAAGCGTGGCCTGGCAAGGCTGGGTCGAGGAAAGAAGGAAATAAAGGAGGAAAAGGGAAAAGTCAGCAGCAAGTTGCGCACAGAAGAAGAAGATGAAGGGTTCGGGGCTGATCATAGAGGACGATTCGCCCAAATCGAAGAAGCCCGCGGCAAAGAACCCCTTCTCCTTCTTTGCACCCAAGCCTGGTGCTTCTGCTGGCCGAGCCCCCGCCCCCTACAGCATCTTTGACGAATCGCCCACCAGCCCCCCGACCGCCCCTAAGGCCACGAAAGGCACGGCAGCCCCCAGCACTCGCCCTGCACATCCAGTCGGGGGCGTCCCACCCCCTTCCATCTTCGATGATCCTCCCATTCTGCCATCGGCTGGCGCCAAGCCAAAGCGTGCTGCGCCCGCAAGCGCTGCACCACATGCCAATAGCCCTGCGGGATTCGATGTTGGCGACGGGTTCGACTTGATGAAGGAGCGGCTGGCCGAGCAGGAGAAGCTCAAGCGCAAGGCCAAGGAGCAGCTGCAGACGACCGCCACCAGTGGCGTGGCCAGCGGCGGCAGCAAGCCGCGCTCGGCGTCGACCGTCGCACCAACTGCACCCAAGTCGCAGCAGCAAAAGAAGAAGGACAATCCATTCTCGTTCAAGAACTTTGCGACGAGAGGCGATGAAGAGAAGGACATGGACGACGATGAGGAGGAAGAGGAGGAGAGTGGTACGGGCGGCGGCGATGGTGATGGCGACGAGGAAGAGGAGGAACAGGCGCGACCCGGCGAGAATCCGTTTTCGTTCAAGGCCTTCGCCAAGAAGAGCGCAGATGGGAAGTCGCAGCAGCAGCCACAGCAACAGCAACAGCAACAGCGGCCTAGGAAGACCACAAAGACACCTGCATTGCCCTCCCTGTCTGACGATGACGATGATGATGACGAGAACGAAGTGGCGAGCGTCGGCACCGTGGGGAGCGATCGAAGGAAGGCGAAGAAGGAGAATCCGTATTCCTTCGCCGCGCTCGCTACACCAACACCATCCCCGCCACCGCCGTCCACCAAGACCACCTCGCTGCCGCTGCCCGCCATCAGTGAAAGCGAAAGCGAAGACGATGAAGACAACATCGGCATTCCCTCGCTGCCCGTGCGTTCACTCTCGTGCAAGCTCAATTCTTCTTTTGCCTCGTGGTGTGGCCAGCTTCACTGACGTAAACCTGTTGTGCTGGCAGGCCCCACACGCGATGGAGGCGCCTGATCTGGATGTACCTGACTTCTCGGTTGAGAGTAGCGACCGGAAGCGTGGCGACAGCGACGCGGAGTCGCGTTTGAGCGCCCAGGTTGCGGAGCTCAAGGCGCTGCTCCTGCGCGCCGAGGCCAAGGCCGACGAGGAGCGGAAACGCGCCGAGGCCATCGAGCGACGAGCGCTCAAGGCGGAAAAGGCGCAGGCGCGGCTAAGGAAAAAGGAAGAGGACGACACCAAGCAGCTCAACGACGTCGTGCAGGTACCACTACGACCACACACTCTCGCCATCAAACTCACATCAAGTTGGGCTGACATCCTTCCCATCAAGGCCATCGAACACAATCTGATGTTGGCCACTGCGCGAGCCGAGAAGGCCGAGGCCAAAGTGCAGCAGCTGGAGGACCAGGCCGCTCGCTGCTCGTGCGGTCGCGGTGCCGGTCACGGTGCGGATTCGCTAGAGAATATTCGTGTAGGGGTCGTGTTGTGTGGCTGCTGACACGGAAATGACGCTGTGTGCATTTTTGGACCTCTTCCAGGTGGTGACAACTCCGAGGCCCAACAGCAGCTGCGGACGATTCACGAACAGAGCGCGTACCTCACGGCACAGCTGCACCAGGCCGCCAACGACGCCGAGGCCGGCATCAAGAAGCTCATCGGCGGCGTATCCACCTTGCGAGACATCGCCACCGTCCTGCAGAGCATCGACAAGCTGAGCCACCTCCCCGCCGACTCCTGACCACCTCACTGACCTTAGTCCACGAGGTGTGTTGCGGAGAGTGTTGACCGGTTGTTTTACTGGCGTGTAAATCTGTGTCGTCTGCGCGGTTCGGCAACATGACACGCCACACGGCGAGGCACACGAAACGTGACAACCACAACGCGAGCCTATAGGACGGCGTTTATCCTAGTCTACCAATGGCGGGTGTGCGCCAAGAGTTTAAATAGGCGCCAGGCAACCCCGCGCCCTCCCCAACAGTTACCTTCACGCTTCCCCCGCACTGAAAGAAACCCAACACAACCGCCTTCCTCCTTATACTTTACAGACACACCACCAGACCAACCTAACAGAAACCCAATCATGTCGGCCATTGCTCGCCAAAACAGAGCCTCCGCATGTCAGGTACACCTCCTTGCTTCCTCTTTTGTGTTGAAAAAGCTCCGATTATTGTCTTCGTCGCTTTCGTTCTTCTTCTTTTTCGTTCTTTTTCGTTCGCTTACGGAAGCCCACGACCACGCCAGACTCCGAACGATGTGGAGGGTCTATACAAACAAGCCCTGCGGTTTCGGGCGGGAGATGCGGGCACGCCGCCCGACGAGGACCAGGCCATGCTCTGCTTCGACCTGGCGGCCCAGCAGGGCCACGCCGGCGCCCAGTACGTGCTGGGCGAGGCCCTCTGGTTCGGCCGCGCAGGCCTCGAGCGCAACGAGCGCCTGGGCGTCGAGTGGCTCCAGCGCGCGGCCGAGCAGGACCACCTCCAGGCCCAGATCCGCCTGGGCACCTGCTACCAGCTCGGCGGCGCCGACGGTGTCGTGCCCGCCGACCCGGCCCTCGCGCTCCACTGGCTGCGCAAGGCCGCCGTGCAAGGCCACCCTGCCGCCCAGTACTGGGTCGGCTCCCAGTACGCCCAGGAGCGCCAGCAGAGCGTGGCCAAGGCCAAGCTGGCCTTCCACTTCTTCGCCAAGGCCGCTGAGCAGGGGCACACTGCGTCGCAGTTCGAGGTCGGCCGGGCGTTCGAGGACGGCTGCGGCGTGGCGGAGGGGAGCGACCCGCTGCGCGCGGCCGAGTGGTACAGACTCGCGGTGGACAAGGCCCACGTCGAGGCCATGTTCCGGCTCGGGCGGCTGCAGATCAACCAGCTGCGGGCGGGCGCGCTGCCGGCCAAGGAGAACGACACCGAACTGGTCGAGGCCGTGGAGATGCTCATGAAGGCGGCCCAGCTCGACCACGTCGAGGCGCAGCTCATGCTGGCCCTCATCCTCGCCCAGGACCACCAGCACGAGGCTGCGGCCGAGTGGCTCGTCAAGGCCGCGGCCAAGGGCAACGTCGACGCGCAGTACCACCTGGCCCGCGCCATGTTCCTGGGCAGCGGCATGGCCCAGAACGAGCGGCTAGCCGTCGGGTGGCTCATGCGAGCCGCCGGCGCGGGCCACGCCAAGGCCCAGTTCGAGCTGGGGGCTGCCCTGGTCCACGGCCGGCACGGCCAGGCCGCCGATCCGCGGACCGGAGTCGACTGGGTGCGCAAGGCGGCCGAGCAGGGCCAGGCCTGCGCGCAGTGCGAGCTGGCCGAGGCACTGTGGGACGGCCGCGGTGTGGAGAGGGACGACTGGCAAGTAGTCTACTGGTACCAGAAGGCCGCCGCCGCTGCAGGCAACGACGACCGCGAGTTCGCTGCGGCGGCGCAGTTCGGGCTGGGCCGGGCCTACGAGCAGGGCCGCGGGGTCAAGCCCGACGAGCACCAGGCCCTCCAGCACTACGAGCGCGCAGCCTACCCTGACCAGGGCAACCACGCCGGCGCCCAGTTCCGTCTGGGCGTGGCCCACTTCTCGGGCTGGGGCCACCTGGTCGAGAAGAACGCGGCCCTCGCGGCCAACTGGTTCAGCATGGCCGCCGAGCAGGGCCACGCCGATGCGCAGCTCCATCTCGGGGTCATGTACGCCAACGGCCGCGGCGTGCCCAAGGACCCGACGGTGGCCGCCCTGTGGCTGACCAAGGCGGCCAACCAGGGCGTGGCGCGAGCCCAGTTCGCTGTGGGCGTGATGCACCTCGAAGGCCGCGGCGTGCCGGAGAATGTGGACCTCGGGATCTACTGGCTCGAGCAGGCCGCCGGCCAGGGGCACGACGGAGCGCGAGCCCGTCTCAACACAGTCCACCACCCAACCTACTGACCCGCAAAACCCCCTCATTGTTGTATTCAACTCGCATTGTAAATAAGAAGGTGAACAGTCTCCATCAGCAAATATTCGGCACAGAAATTAAGGAATAATATTATATTTTATAATTATTTTATAATTAATAATCAATTCTAGAGAATTAGTCGTTGGATTTTGGCCCAGAGAGAGATGAAACAGATAATCGAGGTGGGAGGCATCCGTACGGAGGCATTTGTGCTTCGTGCCGAAGAACCCGTGAGCGACATCACGCTCGTCGTTGTTCCTGGTTCGTTGGACGCCTGCACCCGCCGGCTTCGCGATTTGATTTAATCTTGTGAATTATTCTCGGCCACAGGCAATCCTGGCGCAATTGAATTCTATGTGGAGTTCATCACGGAGCTCTTCCACCTTCTCGAGCAGAGATACTCCATTGTGGGCGGTGCATTATCCCTTTTCTATTTTTTTATTTTTTATATATAATTAATACTTGTTTTTCTGACTGGAGCACTTGTGGGCGAGCAGTGGGCCATGCAGGCCATGCGCCCCAGCAGCTCAACGGCGATGCCATCTACACGCTGCAGGACCAAATCCGGCACAAGAGTACGGGCGCACCTGCTGCGCTACAGCCCACGCTGCTGGTCTGCCTCACTCTTCTGCGCGTGCAGTCGATTATTTGGACAGCTTTGGCGGGAAGAGTCGATTCGTGCTGATGGGCCACTCGGTCGGAGCCTACATCTCTCTTCAGGTGCCACACGCACGCACGCACGCACGCACGCACGCACACAACACACACACACACACACGCACGCACACACACAACAGCCGCACGCACACGCACGACACTCACATTCATCGGCATTGGACGCTGCGACAGGTGACCAAGCGACGCCCGGACTTCCCCATTCTCAAGGTCATCAACCTGTTCCCTACGGTGAGGGACCTCTACCAGGGTCTCCCGCCCCCGGTCAAGGTAAGCAAGCGGGCGGGCCATCGACCGCCCTCACAGTGGTCATCAACTGATCTCTTTATTTCTTTTATTTATTTATTTTTCGATGGTTCATTCATGAATGACCAGGTGATCATGCGGCCGGGCCTGCGGCAGCTCATCGGCTGCATCGTGCACTGCATTCCCACCTTCGTCAAGCGCGCCATCTTGTCCCTGGCCCGATCGAACTTCGATCAATCCACGCGCGAACTCGTGACGGGAATGCTCAAGTACTTTCTCTTCGTCATCGTCATCGTCATCGTCATCTAGCTAACTAACGTATCCCACTTGTCAGCTACACGACGATACAGAACGTGCTGTACATGGCCTATCTGGAAGCCTACGAGATCCTCGATCTCGACGAAGACCTGCTGCGCCACGACGAGCACGAAGTGCGGCCCACGCTGCTCTTCCTCTACGGCCGCACCGATCCCTACACTCCCATGGAGTTCCACGACGCCATGAAGATGCTCATGCCCGACGGTACCATACCTGCACCTACCATCATCGCCAACCTTGTCGCACTTCACACGCTTGACACCCCTTATGGCGCCACGGCTGACGTGATGTGTACGATCAGGGCATGTGCATCTGGCCGAGGAGGAGGTGCCGCACGCCTTTGTGTTGAAGCACTCGAGCCCGGTGGCCCGTCGGGTGGCCCACTTTCTGGAGGACATATTGGAACATCAACAAGAAGTGGACGACGAAGAAGAAAACAAAGCGTAAGGAAACGTTGGTTTTCTCCTTGGCTTGGTCGGACATAAAACTCTCTCTCTTTGGGTGAAAGAGTTTAAGAAGGCTGGATGGTGAACGGAGATCGCTGAGAGATCGCGACGCGAACGCCATTCAAGTAAAAACAAGCCATAGATAGATCGCCACCTTAAAGGTCGATCTAAATTAAAGAAATTCATGTCCGCAGGCGCGGTTATGGTAAGCCGCACCTCGCAACAAGCTCACGGATATCCGAGAGTTAGCCAATGGCGTGGGACCATCGGTGCTGCAGGGTGCGGGTTGAGCTGATCGGATTCCACGCACACTATCCACCAACCGCAAAAAAGCCCGTTGAATCGGGCGTCCGCCTATTGGTCGCTCTGCGATTGGGTATCCGCATACACTGTATGTCCATTACTCCTGATAAATACCGCGGAGGCGCAGACAACAGCATTCAAGCAACCAACACCAATACAACAACAACTGTACCTTACCTGTATACCATCAACAACACATCAACATGAAGGCCATCCTCGCCCTCTTCGCCCTCTTCTTCGTCATCAACGCCGCGCAGGCCACCCTCTTCTTCTGCCAGGACAGCCAGTACGACCCCGCGCAGCCGTCCTTCTCCAACATCCTCAAGTTCTACGCCGAGCGCGCGGTCTTCCAGGACTTCAAGGACTACTTCGTGCAGATCACCAAGAACGTCGACCTGGGCAACACCACGGTCGAGGCCGGCGTCATCAACCAGCTCAACGCCAGGCTCACCCAGAAGGGCTATGACAACACCAAGCTGAGCTTCACCATCACCCGCTCCAACGGCGACATCACCATGGACACCCAGCTCGGCGTCAACCCCGTCATCGACAACCACGGCGGCCGCTACTCGCTCGGCAAGCCCATGCTCTGCCGCGACTTCGAGACCCTCGTGTTCGACTACACCTACGTCACCCGCACGGGCCTCCAGTACCGCTTCTGGTCTCAGGCCGTCCAGACCTCCATCCAGAAGCAGTTCTTCGCCTTCAGGTGGAACATCCCCGTCCAGTAAGCCAACACCAGTTGCCTGTAAAATTAAATGAAAACAAAAAACCCAAAATATTTTATATTGTGTGTCGCCCCCACAGCGACATCACACCCAACTCGTCTTCTCGCCTTAGTTCTTTTCACCCGCAAGGGGCCAGTGTGCTGTCCGCACATAGCTTCTGGCCCGCGGGTAAATCGCACTCTTACGCAGTCACTCGCGCAATGTTCTCACTCATTTCTGTGGCAGGTGGGCATGAGCGCGGAGCAAAACGGCCTTCTCAGTTGCGCTGGGAGTGCTGCCATGGGACCGGGTCGGGAGAGCGAATAACTGGCCGACGTGGTTTGTGTTGGTGAGTTCTGGTTGGTGCAGGGTTGGATTTCGGGAGCGGTGGAAAGGTGTGGATACATGCATACAAAGCTAGGGTTGAGAAGATACATATCAGAAAGAAAGTGTTGTGTGATGTAGTTCTTGAGGGAGATGGTGTCTGTGTGTGTTGAGTTGCTCGCGCGAAGACTGGTCAGCCGCGGTTGTACCACTCGTCGATGCCGTACTTGCGCGGCGGCTTCCTCTTTCGCGCGGCCGCGTTGACCACGAGCACCTTCTCGAGGTCCTTCTCCTTGAAGCAGTCAAGCAGCTGGGCCACCATGTCCCTCTTCTTCTTTGTTCGGCCGCCAGCCTTCCTGCCGCCGGACCTCGTTCGCCTCTGGTAGAGGCTTCGCCTCCGGTCGTCCCCGTCATCTTCGTCGCCATCGTCGCCAT